ACAAAACTGCACAAAATAAAACTACACACTGCTGTACATCATCCTGCTCCGCTCTAATGCTTCCGTATCCGTTCCCCGGGGCTGATGGTGCTTGTGGTGGTAGGGGTAGGTTATTTCAAGCACAATAGGACCCAATATCAAACCACCACATTTAGTAATTACATCCCCCAATTCTCGACCAGTCTGATTTCAGTATTCAAAGCGGCTTTAAGTTTTCAGGCGTTTTTGAAGATTTCTCGAACTTTTTTACATTTGAAAAAATCCAACCTATTTCTAGACCATACACTTGTCATACCATACACACTTCTATACCAATTGGTGTGAAAAGGGTACCCCAGGCGGAGGCATGTCAATATTTTTATACTCATATAGTTTTTCTACAGAGAGCCCTCCACGGGATTCTTTTATCCTTCTATCCATCTATCCACAAATATGTGGAGTCTTAATCAAGAATATTCAAGACCATTGTATTCATTTCTTTCTCATGAGCCTTTCGTACCGGCAACAGAGCCCTTCGCGCATTGGGGAAAACTATGTTGTCAGCTAAAAAAATTAAATCACGTTATGCATTCATCAATTGTGTTACTCCTTCATCTATACATTGGTATATTTGCATACCAAGACAACTCTTATGTTTAAACAAACGTTTATCCACAGTCAGAGACTGTGGTTTATCAAACAAATTATTTCTTTTAGCCATAAGAGGGCGCTCGTGATTATTTTGTTTATTGAATGAAACACAAATTTCCTCAGTAAAACTGTGGACTCAATCTCGATGTTCATACACTGTAGATCCGTACTGAAACATCTATTGTACTAGATACATTCTCTCTTGATTGAAATGTATGACACGCCCCAAGCAAACTACTACCTTTCTAATACTTTAATGAGGGAGGGTCGTCAGCTGCGCACGCGCGGGAATAACAACACACGCTAAAAACACAAAGGCTCATGGGTAGACGCTTGTTTGTAAACAATGACACGCTGCGGTCATCTGACGCATGCGCAAGTGACGACTCCCCCTCCCGCTTTAATAGAAGTCTTGTTATGTGGCACATCAACCAATCTATTTTTCCATTACTTGGTTTTGCACTAATATTTTCCATGATGAATTTCAAGTATTTTTCTTATGTGAGAAATATTTTTTTTCTCTAAGATTCAAGAGTGCAGATTTATATTCTGTTATTTGTTTACTGAGTGTCTTATGGTCAAGCCCTTAGTGATGATGTATTCATACACTCTAAAGTAAACACCTGACTTTGAGCCACTACTTGCACAAAACCATGCCACACAGTATATAAATAAAAATTGGGTAAAGTAGTTACTCTTATCTGGTTTTCGAATCTATTAATAACAATAAATAAGAAGTGTGAACTGTTGATTTATTTCCTATTTTGAGTGGAAAATGCACAGTTGTAGGATATAGAGAACTGAAAAGTATTTGATTATGCTTGCATGTAGTCTTTTCTTTTTTGAGATGCTAAATTGTTCGTGTTACCAACACAACAAAAACACATTACAAAAATGACCTTGCCTATATTTTAGAATCCATGCCCATTTTTGCGAAACTAAGCACAAATTGTAACTCAATGTTGAAATAACAGTTAACTGAACTTCAAGTAGCAGGCAACATACATTTTTGTTTTTGTTGAACTTCCACATTTAGTAACAAAAACTTTAAATAAGTGTTATGAGAAGCATAGATTTTTTGCCTTCTTTAATGTTTTGTTTCTTGTAACTCAATTGATATTCGAGTTATGATCTGTTATGCATGAGTAAAGTTTGAATGTTATCTATCAATTCATGATGGGTGTGTAAAGTTTGACAGAAATCGGCCTAGGCATGTTTGAGATACATGTACGAAACTCACGGAGGTGAATTATAAGACTTGTGTCCTTTGAAAGTGATTTCAGTCAACCAACTGGTATTGTGATCAGCAGATATGATGGGTCACATGATAATAGACAATTTCGCTCAGCATTACCTACCTCAACAACTGAGAGGGTGTTTTAAAAAAACAAAAGTAATTTATCTCCTACCACTGAGGGCACAGTGACAAGGACATCAGCATGAATTTTCAGGGTACTGCCTCATGAAGAGATTTATAATGGTAAACCAAATCCAAAGCAAACAATTACCATGTTTGCTTTTTTAGTAATGCATGTACTTATGTTAATGAGTATACAATAATCTTTGGTGCACTTCTGATAGAGCAACTATAGATTCAAACTATATCTCAGGCAAAGGTCTAAGTGGTAGCTAATTGCACTGAAGATAGAATTTCTACAGATGGGTGAGATGATTAAATGACATAGGAATATTAGAACCACATTTTCAATCAATCAGATACACCAAAACATTAAAATTCACTGAGAATTTATTTAATCAATAACAGATATTGATACAAAAACATATTATAATGAAATCAACAAATTATCAGCCAATTAAATTTTAGTTAAACATTAAAACATGTACAAATCATTGTTTTAATTACATACTGTACTTCAAGCATGTATTGTGCAGCC